AATAACATGACACTTGGCGCAATACTATTGGTGGCATTGGATTGGCATAGAAAACATGTCACCGAGGATCCCAAGTGCCATTTCCTGCTTTACTCCGTAATCACTATGGATTTAAAAGAAAAAAAAAAAAAAAGGAGGCCGCCATGCCCTGTTAAAAAAATACTAATAAAAGTTGGCCGCCTCATTTACAAACTAGCCTCTGCTGGCACCGAATAGTGGCATAGAGGATCCCAACTGGTGTAGCAGGGACCTGAAAAAAACAAAGGCAGCCCACCTTGTCCAAAATAAAAAAAATAAAAAAGACACTGCAGGCTATTTCAGATTTAAAAAAAAAAAAATCCACTAACAAGAAAACCCCCTCTACTCAATCTTTTTATTTTTATTTTTATTGCACCAATATTCAAGAAATTTGCTTTGTCTAGCTTCTTCTAGTCCGTTCTCAACAACAAGACAAAAGAAGATAATATTTTAATTACTACGTCATACTGGTATTATTGCTGCAACACAGCCAAACCCAACATGACAAAAGCAATTGCAAATGCTCAATTATTAGAAAGGGGAGAGTCAATAAATTAGACAGCATATGGGACAAGATCAGAAGAAAACTTCAAACTTTACTTTAGCTTGCAAACCTTTAGAGAAAAAAACAAAAGCAATAGAAAACTCGAATTTTGCTGCCAAATGAAGCCAGCAATTTTATCTGGCAAACTAGCCAGTTTCATCACTAAATTAGCCAGTTAAATAATGACTATGGCTCTTTCTCTCAAGAGTCCACGGTCAATTCAAACATGCTCAAGTGCATAGAAATCACTTGCATTCTAATAGGTTTGAAGATCATAGCTACCATCATTTGTAATTTTTTTTGGGTTAGAATTTAGAGCATGAACTAAGAAATAACACTAGTAGTTACTATTGAGAAAAAAAAAGAAAAAAGAAAGAATCATTATAAAGTCTTGTATTGAAGGATTGGAAATGGTCTTAAATTCTTCATTCATGATCTCTTTATTTATAAAAAAACATACAAGTCTTCTGCTAATAGATCTCCTAGCATACATACAGGTGCTTATGATGCTTTGATTGAAGGGGGATTATTTTTATTTGCAAGTGCCTTGGTACAAGGTTGTTTGCCTCAAAGGCTTCATTCCTCATTTTGCTTATATTATTCATTAGAGGGGAGCTCAATCCTGGTCCGGTGCAATCGTTATTGTAATCGATGTTGATCATGCTCAAACGATTAGCAGATGATGGATGATGCTCTTGCAGGTTGTCACCAATTTGCGATAAGTCTTCTTTAGACCCTTCAGTTCAGTAGTAGGGTAAAGGACGTCAGAGGTGATAAAAAAAAAAATGGTGTGGCTTGTAGTAGTAACTGAACATGTTGGAGTTGCGGGAGGGCAAACGGTACGGTGGAAAGCTGTGATAGTGAATCCTTTGCTGATCTGATCTGATCAGATCAATAATATATAGCTTGAAAATGATTTCATGTCCTTTTTTAAAGCAAATCTATCTTGAGGGAGAAGTTCTCTTATGACATATATAGACGGAATTTTCCCTCAAAGTAAAAAAGAAATAACAAATGCAGCCATCAGAAAGTACTTAGTGGACAGCGTCATGGCATATGTCATTGGTATATATATAGATACATATATAAACTGTTGTGTGCTTGAAGATGCAAAATGACGACGAACTGTCCCCCAATGATAATTAAGTAGCTAATACATTATTGTTTAACAGCAAAGTCAAGTGCTTAGCCTGAACCCTTTTGGATCTTAATGAATTAAAACAAAATCATGGCATGGCTGGATTTGTATACCAGCTCAGAACTTATACAGCCTTAGTTGAAGGAGGAGGTTCAATATTTGGGCAAAAAACTGACCAACCTCAGAACCAGATGTGCCTCCTTCTTGAACATTTTTTCCGATCATATTGGAATGATCACCCGCCAACATCACCTTTAAATACATCCCCTTGTTTGATCTCTTGCAAGCCTACTTCTTTTAGTATAAATATTACTAGCAATTAACTAAGAAGTCAGCCTGTTGTCTCCCACAATGTTATTAGCTGCTTTGGTAATTTTGTCACTCACTCGTGTCATTATTGCCTTCTGATCCAAGTCCAGTGCAGGATTACTGCGTTGCGGATCTGCAACTCCTGGGGTAAACCTAATACACTGAAAAGCCCCCGTAGTTTCAAAACGTACAACATGACATCTCATGTTTTGAACTAAATTGTAAAGACGACGGAATTCGTTAAACTTAACGGAAATGACTTATTGGAATCTAAAAAAAAATTTTTTTATACTTAATTTTTAACAAACATACCTGTTCTACCCCTTAAACCTCAATTCTCTCTATCTAGAGAATGAAACAAATGATTTTTTTGAACTGTCTTTTGCTTAATTATATCAGGACATTCGGGTCATTTCGTCCATTTCCATCAAATTTAAAGGATTCCGTCACTTTTATAATTTAGTTTAAAGTATCGGGTATCATGTTGTGCGTTTTGAAATTACAGGGAGTTTTTCTGTGTAGTAGGTTTACTATGATTTTTTTTTTTTTTTTGTTTCTTTACCCTTTTTTTTATTATTATTATTATTATTATTACTTCTTTCCTATGTTAAGGCTTGTAGTTCCCCTTAGAACCAAAAAAAAAAAAAAAAAATTCTTTGAAGGCTGCAAGACTGGGGCAGCGAACTAAATATTCGACAGTCTCAACGTAGGGATGTCAATGAATCGCATCGAGTTCCTCCGTCAACCGAGTCATCCCTCGTCATGGAGGGGAGACTTTCAGTTGGCTGGGTATCAACGGTGAATGTTTTGTAGTGGAAATTACTTAAGTTGTGATCTTTCTGGTGAAGAGTTTGTGATCCCACCAGGATTAGTGCTGCACCTCCAACTCAAAGTCGGGAAAGAAAATGCAGTACGTTTCTTCACTTCTTTTAACAGTCAGAATCCTGGGATTGATCAGATTATTGCACCAACTCTATTTGAGTCTATGCCTTTGATTCCTGATCAACTGCTGTGCTAAAGCAGTATTCCACGTGAATGAAACTATCAATCGAGCTCATCATGAGGTCCCCAGATGATCTTGTTACTAAACATATACTAATAAAAAGACTAGCTAAAAATGAACCAGTAGTACTGCTACAATAATCTTATTGGGTGACAATTATCCACGATGCTGGTAAGAGGAATGAAATATTGGTTAGAGTCTTGTAAGGTCTAAATCCAGAGTCTCCCACCCGATGAAATTGGTGGATGCGTTTACGGGTATGCCTTTATCTCCCTTGCGATAGCTTTAGAGTCTAGAAAAGATGAAAAATGTGGAATAGATTAAAGAAGAAGACAGAGCATGAAGGAGAGGGGAAGAGAGAAACGGTCAAACACCAGATAGAAGGGAGAAAGAGTCCCAAGAAGAAGGAGAGGACATTGTTTCGATGAATTAACATCAGGGAGAAAGAAGTGTGAAAAAGATGAGATGGTGACAGATAGGAGAAGGTTAAGGGCATTGGGTTTTTTAGAAGGGCCACGTATCATGAGTAATTTTATAAATTCAAAAAATATATACAATATATTTCATTTTATAATCCTCTATTAGGCTCAAAAGTAATCGAACTTGTAATCTTGGAACTCGAACTCGACTTGATTTGCTACTTGAGTAGCTTGAACTCAAGTTCGATAAAATCAAGATGAGTCGAGTTTCTTCTGAATTGAGCGTCGTCGTCGAGTTGCTTTCAAGTAGATTTGGTTCACTTACATTCCTAGTAATCATGCTTTATGATACATCACTATCAATAAAGTTCTACCATATAAATAAAGCAACTATTTCATGTTTAGTATCTACTAGACAAGTTACTAATTCTATTTTTCACCTATCTCAAAATTATCATAATTGGAAAAAAGTATACAGCTGAGTTTACGCATAATTGCTCTTTCACTTTCACTCACTTATATCTGGAATCGTATTGGACCATGTTTGTGCTTATCCATCGATAAATGTATCGTCGTCTTCTTGTCAGCTTTAAGGTCATACCAATATACGGTGGATCGACCAAGTTCAGTAGTCAGCACAACTACAGCCAATTGCATCCACCGCTATACTTCACTTCTAAATCAAGCTCCTTACAACCGATCATCCCGCTTTCTATACCGTCCTGGTACAAGGGTATATGTGATCTTTTACCTGCTTAATATGATTAGTTTATAGATGATCTTCTAAAAATAAGTACTGCTTCGAAAATAAAGGAGAAATTTCATGATCATCCCAGCATAGTGAAAATTAGTTTAATTCAATTAATGTATGGTAAGGTTTGTTGTTGATCTATCTGTATATTTGTACCATTGAGTGGGTGGATCATAAACTTTTGCCACCAATTCAACGGTTTTCTCTGCAAGAACCCCGCCACTGCATCTTCACACAGGACTTCTTCTTAATTTCATGGGTTCCAACAAAGTCTCGGAGCATTCAACGTTTACGGCGTCGATCAATGTCACTCATGCATGCTGATGTTTATGAGTTTCCGGGCCTCAACACTATAGGGCTGTCAACGAACCGAGTCGTACATGTTCCTAACATTTTTATTTTCCTTCTATTCAAGTTTTGCGGCGAGCGAAAGGAAGCTCTAAAAGGCCCTCCTTGACCACTAGGAGTACACCTTTGTGTAACATTGCAACACATATGCTCTGCATAAAAATAAGAAAAAGTTTGTGTCTTTGGAAAGAAGCACAGTCTACATAAGCATGAGGTTCAAGAACCTAATGTAATACCTTTTTTCAATTCAAACATGATGTATCCTCTATGTGCAAGTGTCCACCTATGTTATATATATATATAACAGTTTTCTAACTCACGAACAATGGATTACAATTTTCAACATCATCAACTTCTTCTTCTTTTTTATTGGGGTCAATACTTTTTTTTTTTTTGGTCAATCGTCATCACTACTCCTACTCTATTCTAATCTAACTAGGGGGAGGCCCAACTGGACCTACGAAGAATCGATGGGAGCAAAACCACCACCGGACCAGACAGATACATCACACACCCGTCTGGATTTTTTGAAGAACCACAATGTGACAATTTGGTGGAAGGCAAGGTTCGTCCCTTGAACCCTTGCCTCCCGCCCCCACCAAAGCCTTAAAGGCTTGGTGGTGGGGGCCGGTGGTTTTTTGGGGTCAATACTAGGAGACCTGGTAAATTAAGATTCTGCTAGTGCTAGTGCTAGTGCTAATGCTAGTCTACTAGTACTAATATTCTTTGAAAGTGTCCTTGTTGCATGCATCTGTCTCTCGTCAGTTAATCCTTGTTTTTGGGATTTCTTCACCTGTTCTCCCTCATGAAATGAAAATTGAAAAGTTGATCCCCCCAAAAATGTCATTTGAAGAATTATACGGTACTACTTCTTAACCTGTTCACCACCGCGACAAAGTATTTCAACTAATAATTCCAGCAAGGTTAACCATCAGAGTGGCAACTGTGTTTGGACAGCTCAAGTTTACCTATTTCGCTTGTATCATAAACACATTTAGTATTTATTCCAAATAATACTCTATCCAAACACTATTGTATTCGACTGACTATGGCTGCTAAGCTGGTGTTCTACCAAATGCTGTTTCTCTCAGTTTTCTTGTGGCCTTATTCCCAATCTGCTGATCCCGACCCACTACAGGATCCAAGACCCCACCTCTGTGAATGGTTTCTCTTGCAAGCCTGTCTCTGATGTGACTTCAGAGGATTTCTTCGTTGATGGACTCAGCAAAGAGGGAAATACTACTAATGCCTTTGGAGTCAGCGTCGCACAAGGAAATGTTTTTGCGTTTCCGGGGCTAAACACCCTGGGAATCTCCATGAATCGAGTTGACTCTGCTCCTGGAGTAGTAGTCATTGAGGGGAAAGTCCTTGTAGGTCTTGTGACCACTGGAAATGTATTCTACTCAGAAGTGTTAGACCTCAGGGCAGGCGTTTCATGTTTGTGATTCCCAGGGGGCAGAGTACCAGGAAATGTTTCTTCCATCAGGGGGATTTGGGATCTAGGATTGTGCCACTTCAGATGCTGAACTTTCGTCGACTAATGAAAGAATTGCAGTAAGAGTCCATTGCATCTTCAAAGGATAACACATAAATTAAACCACGTACTATTGCTACAATTTTGTCCTAGACGTCAATACAGGAACTAGTCAGATCAGACAGAGATCCAGTTTTCTAATTGGACATATGGGCATACTCACAGCAAGTTCAAGAATGTCCTTCAATCTGCGAAAGGGTTACATTAGATGTAAAATTAAATAACTGAAAGTCTCCTTGATTTGATCAAAGACGATGAGAATGAGCTGGAGGAATAAAATGCCTGCTCAACTTTCCTATTCACTGAAGAGCAGCTGTATTTGTCACGTTGCTCTTTCTAAGCTGCTACCGACCTGTATATGAAGCCATTCATCCGGAGCATATTCCCTTGGTGCTTGTTGGCCGAAGATCATTGCAGTAGCATCAAATTGTGGAGCTGCAAGCTGGAAAGCGGGATAACCGAATCAAAGAAATAACTCAAAAAAAGTTCTGGGTATTGCTGGACATCATGAACTTTTAAATGCATGAATAATAATCACTCACTAATCAACAATGCGCGTGGATCATATTTAGGGTAAGTCACATAAACCAGAACGAAGGTTACAACTGATAGATCTTAAAAACACATATATTTACACAAGACAAGGGGAAATGAGAGATGTAACACATGTTCAGCTGGCAGAAGCAAAACTGAAGCTAGCAACAGTGCTTAATCTCAATACAAAAAAGAGGTAGCTGTAACTGTATAAAATCAGCCAGAGGCTGTAAACAATGACTGCTGCAAATTCCTTCCAACAGAGCCATATCACCATTCTTGCACTAGTTATGCAAATACGTCACTGCATCTACACTCATGTGAAATGACGAGCAGTTCTGATGCATGTACTTGCTTTGGACAGAGCAGAATTGAAAGAAAAACCAAGGATAACTACACAAAACAAGGAACAAGAGGAGAGATAATATGGAAGCTGCAGGCACATATACTTGATAGGGGATGAAAAATGAGGAGGAGGAGGACCTGGCAGAAAAGGCACGACTCATTTGTTTTAAAGTTAAGCAGTCAAACATAGTTTTAGGCACCAATACGAGAACATAAGAAGATAAAACTGCAAATTTAAGTCAAAATCCAAATACAGATGAACTTTTCTTTATCTACAGGTGAATATCCACCTTCAAATTATAACCAAATGTTACAGAATTAGCTAAGAAGCTACAGTAATTGATCAGGAAATACCACTGTTACAACATCTTTACTCTGTGAAATTTAGTATATTTATGTAGCTTGATCACTTGTAATTCACGTGGTATGTTGGACCACCAGTATATCATGTTTAGTCATTCATAAGATCTATATGTCGTAGCGAAAGATTGTTAAATATGAATTCCAGGAAGAAAAGAGTTAACTATGCTGATATAAAAACTACTACTAGTTCACCACTGGCATGGTGACCGCGGTGTCAATCATGGGGCCATTTCCATCTTCTGAAAAGGAGCTCCGAGAGGAGTAATATTAACACAAGGACTATACCTTGTCATTTGAATTTCAGTAAGACATCGCTCACACTGTGAAAGGCAATTAACTGTTTCCTTTTCTTTTTCTTACATGTTCACCAACTCGTCAGATTCCCAAAAGGACATAGAATATGTGAATCTGGAGTCAAATGCTTCCTCAAATCTTTCAAGTTTTTCCATGCGTACTTGCACTCCATAAAGAGTTAAGAAATTGCCACAGGCAAAATGGCATGCAGCTCTTCATCGAAAAACGAAAAAGGGATCGCAGATAAGAAAAAGCAAACTGCTATTATGGAATAAAAAGGGACAAGAATAAACAAACAAGAACTTATACTGAATTTAATTTTTTGTTAAAAGACACAGATAAGGAACAAAAGGAATATGCATCTTTCTGTCAAACTACAACAGGATGCTGAACTGTTTGGTGGAGCGTGGAGCATAACTAACTTGTCACCTCTGCTTTTGATCCAAAATATGAATCTATATTTTATTTCGTTTTCAGTCAGTAGCTAGTCATCAGGTCAAAACTCCACAAAGTGTACCATTTCATGATCCTATAACGGCAACATATTTCATTTTTAATGTAATTTACTACCAAGGACGTCCTCCCAAACACTCGATGAAACAGATTTCAACAGTTTCTCTGTTCATACTTATAACTAGTAAAAAAACAAAGCAGCAGCACCAAAATGACAGTCAGAAAAGAACTGACAATACAGATTGACTGATCAAGAAAGGATTAAAGGCGTTAAACTAGCTAGCATTTCAAGCTCTGTAACTTACTTCCTTGGAAGGAAATCCTTCTATGGCTGAGTTCATCCTTGAATTAACTGCTTCGAGCTTCATGGATAAAAACTTTGACATGCAATATATTAAGGACAGAATGAGATTCAAAATTTTGGATGTGAATTAAACACGGAAGACTTCAGTAACTACCTCAACTTGTCGCTGAAGTGACTGGATGTAGTTAATAATTTCATCAAGTACTAGAGCTTTCCCAATTACCTGATCAATACATAATAGTGCATTAACTGGACAGAATTATTTTAAAGAGCAAAAAAGTTCAAGTGGAACCCCTAAAACATGGAAGGATTAGTGTGAACTAAGGGCCTCTTCTCTTTTCCTCTTGCACTGTAGAGCTTAGGTAAAACAAAATTCCAGATAGCTAGTCCAACTGACATCAAAATTTCAACTTCCAAAGTGCAGAAAAGCTAAAAATCCATCGAGAAAATGCTGCAAAATATTTTTTGAAAGCTAAAAGCTGGTGAAAATGAGAAAAGACAACACTCTCCTGAAGTAATAAAGCACAAATTCCACAACAATTTTTGGTCTAGTGTGATACGCAAGAAGAGTGCGGGTGCGGACCTTGTTACAGCCAGGAACCAAATCTTGAAGAATTTTCATCCGCTCACTGATCTTTTCTCTCCTAGCCTGATGAAAAACAGAGCTAATTCATCAGAACTAATACTCGAAATGAATGGCCAACAAAAGAAAGGTAAGCAAGGCGAGAATTACTCTCTCGGCAAGACTGTGGCTATCAGTAGCTTGACCCCTTCTGGCTCTGACATGGATATAGTCTTTAGGTGGCTGAGGGTTAGTATCGTCATGATCAGCAGGCTTGTTAGTAGTGTATGAGCTGGTCTGCGGTTCTGCTTTGGATTCATCAATTTGTTCTCCGATTCCTCCTTCTGATGCCTTCATCCGCTTTACATTTGCATTATTCTGTCGAGTAAAATCAGTATCACTCAACCAGTGGAAGAGAAATCTGGCTTCTAGGCTTAGTTATGGGGAGATAACAAAATCTCAATCACTTAAAAGAGTTAGAGATGAAACAAAAATTACAATTTCTTTTTAAAAAAAAGATTGGAAATGTTATGGGATCAATATCTCCGTAGTAAAAGTATTTCTTTTGCAAGTAGAAATCTAGGAATGCCCATCAAGAAACAACAGTAAAAGTGGAAATCTTTTTACTAAAAGATTTACTAGCATTTTGTATAAGAATCCAACATGCAAAAAAATGTGTCCATTGACCAAAATTGAGAGCAAGCATCAAAAAATGAACTTGAGAAATGGGAAAAAAAGAAGAATTGTTGCAGGTAGAATTGAAGTGGAGCAAAGCAAGATAACAGAGAAATCTATCCATCAACCGGGGGAAAAAAGGGATTTATATACTAACGGAATGAACGGCACAAGAAGCGGAAGCAAGAAGGTGATGTTGAGAAAGGACATGCTTGCGCTTGTTGGTGGCATTGGTGCGGCAAGCACTTAGGTCGGTGACGGTGGATTCCTCAAGGGAAAGCGCAGCAACAGGAGGAGGAGTGCCATGTGGGGGTGGCAAGGCGGGGGGCATTGGGAGACCCAAAACGGCAGGAGGTCCGATGGGGAAAGGCCAAAGGTCAGTGAGAGTGTAGGAGGAGGAAGCATGGGCAGGTGAAAAAGACGAGTGGCTGACGATTGGCGGATCCATTCACCCCCCAGGGGGCCTAACCAAACATTTACTGATCTAATTCATTGAAAACTTCAACTTAACAAAGCAGCAGCAGCAGAATTTTGCACATATACATGTCAAAGAAATATGGGCAACATGAATGGTAGTGCTAGTAGCAGCAGCAGTAGTTGAGGAGGACGCAGGAGTAAGATGGAAAGTGAAATGGGGAAATGTAGTAGCAGTCGGACTGAAGTGAGTGGAAATTGAGGAGGAGGAGGTCAGAGAGATGGAGATGATGGGGGCCCCCGGGGGCTGTTGTCTGGTGATATTAAATAAAAATGATTCAATGAAAAAACTATGAAAGGGCGAGTGAGGAGTAATTTTGACCCCCCAAAAGGCAGGAGTAGAGACTGTAGTGTACGGAGATGGAGTGGTAAGCTACTAATTTACAAAACTGAAGACAGACCGAAGAAGGGAAAGTGAGACTTGAGAGAGACCGGTGAGATTGTGGATCAACTACCGACTAACGGGCACACACTTGAGACTTTGGACTTGAGAGAGAGAGAGAGTAGTGTCATCCTATTTTTTTTTTTTTTTTTCGGGGAGACGATAACTGTAATATATTTTAATCTATTTTATGCTAGGGGAAGAGAGGTCCATGAATAGTAAGGAGGAGAGAAAATTGAAGCAAACAGGCGCATTACACACCTATCTGAATTTTTAATATGATAATTGATAGAAGGCAGTATTAAAAGCTTGATGGTGGCCATCAGCTTTAGTTGAGTAGTGTCATCGCCATTCGGCACTGACTGATATTCGCTGTTAATGCAATGGCTGTATTGATGGATTATCCGTGAAAACTCTACAAGCAACTTATATTTTATGACGGTGATCGAAGTCGAGCCAACGATTCATAAGAACTCTATAACTGGATTTTCCTAAAGAAGGAGACATGTTACCATTTTTTTGATGTTAGTAAACCGGTCATCTTGATAGTGCAACTGAGGGCGTTTGCTAGCAGATTCATAATGGTTGCGTTGATGTCAAAAAAATGGTTCAATGCAATTTTCATGTCATTCAGCTTATGCTTTTCTAGAGTCTGGAGACGAAATTTCAATGCCTACAACTGGATTATTCTCTAACACTCGCTAAAATTAGTGCATGAAGTGGACCTTCATCATGGGCTCTTTTTTATCAGCGCTGCCTAGCATTGCCTGATTTCAACATGATTCTATTCGATGTGCAGTGAAGCAGGAGCATGTTCAGTCACTGCAAATTTCAAATTGAACCATGCCATAGATGGTAATATTGAGCATCCTCCTCTTGTTTGCTGGCAATATGGTCCACGACCTCTTTTTTTTTCCTTAAGAAAGACGACACATATGCACCACCACCAACAACAACCCTTGTGTGTGTGTGTGTGTGGACTCTGGAGGTCTGATGGAACTGTTTTTGTGGTTAAGCTGCAGATGACAGTGTGATCGTATAGCAATAGCATCGCCTTCCAAAGTAGTAAAAGCTTAACGCATGCATGCGCTAGCTACTCCAGTTACTTTTTGTCACAGCAAAAATTCTATATATACATATATATATATATATATAGCTCAAAAGAGAGAGTGGATTCCCTGGCAAGCACTTTCTTAAAAATCAGGCAATTCTTTCACACATATTCCTCTTATCGGAAAAAGATCTTAAAAGTGGCTGCTTGCTTAGATTCACAGATGATTATATAATAAAATGCTTCTTCTGCTTGCCAATTGGCATCTATACTGTGGTTGGTACTTTAAATAGCTTCCAACCAAAGAGCAGATGCTATGCTCTTTGGCTGTGCTTTTGGGCTAAAGATCCCAAGTGCCTACTGGTTTCGGACTCTACGCATACCCTGCCACATAAACCTCAATTAAAAGTCTCATCAAATTAGAAATTAGATGGAAACTTTTTCACACCACCAAACAATCCCAAATGAGTAGGGGTTTGGGATTTTTTTTTTTGCTAATCTCTTATTTTTAACCTTATCAAACCAAGCCTCAACTCGAAATATTTGCCCGAAAGTAGATCGCCATGCAACCTAAGGCTTTGTTTGGATTGCATTTTTCTGGATTTTTTGTAAAAACAAAAATTATTGTAACGATTTGATATATGTGAGGTTAAAAAATATATTCACAGAAAACGTAACGATTTTTCTTTGATATATGTGTGTGTGTTGCATGTAAAAGAAAGAAAAATAACATGTCTGGTCAATTTAGAAAATCAAGTGAACTAAAAAAAATTTTGAAGACAAATCAAGGAGTGCTTACATTGAGTGATAAGCAATTCTATTATCAAAGTTCCAAAATGCCAAAAAAAAAAAAAACTTCATATGATACTTTGGATGGATTCAGAATAGTGGTTGGGCCATTCCAACAGGGAACCATAGATGAAATGAGGTAACAACTAGCAAGAGATTAACCCAGGAAGGATACATAACAACTCCCTTTCCAAAAATAAATCTATGGAAAAGAAATGATCAGCAATGAGAGATTTTTTTTGGTTCGTGGGACTGGGGCTGTTTAAGGTAAGGTGGGGTGTGGTTTGGTTTGCGGCAAAACAGAAGGTACTACTGGTACGTTTTATCTCAACTCTAAAATAATGTCAAATTTTTTGCTTAAAGCAATGATTGTTTAGACTAAGAAATGAAAAGCACCACTCATTGATCTCCAAAGACCAGGGCAGGCAGGGGAATAGGGGAGGACCCTAGCTGACCTTACAAGAATTGTTTGTTCCAAGCCCTTCATTCATTCTTTTTGATGGTGGGATGCTAAGTTGCCAACCCGGCATGGAACCAAGAACAAGAAATGCAGCCTCATATATCATCATCCTACACTTCGAACTTACTTATATCACCATATGCTATCCACAAAAATCAGCACTACCTTCAACAGTTTCACCGAAACCGACATAGAAGCATAGTAGAGGAGGTAGGTATATATATATATATATATATATGTTGATTGTTGGGCTATCTTAACAAGTTTTCTTGAGATACTACTAGGCAATGTACTAACATCTAAACAAAAACCCCCCCACAAGTTTAGTGGAGTCGAAAGTATTTCTTTTTTGTGCTGTAACTACTTCAAAAAAGAGCCTACCGACAAGGTAACTAGTACGAGAGAAATATCCATGGGAGAAAAAGGCTGCTGGCATTGTACAAAGTTGGAAGGGGGAGAAAAAGGCCTGCCTTTGTGAGTGCCTAATTTCCCCTATAATAGTAAGAATAGTTTTCAACCTCCAAATCATTCAATCAGCCCTCTGTACAGTTGTTTTGAACAAGAGGATGTATAGTTTCTGATCCATTGAGAAGTACATGAAGCCACCTACTGAGTGTGTCACGAAGGAACCAAAACTGGTCCCTACGATGCAGTGCCAGGCTGGTCCATAAACCCCATCAAATTCCTGCAAGCAAGAAAATCAGAACTGAGACTAACCAATTCAAGAACCAGCGTGCCTGCTGATCAGCAAGCGAATTGATCCCCCAAAACGGAAAAAAAAACAAAAAAAAAAAGGAAAGCCTCGCATCACAGAACCTAAACCAAAAAGCCCACAATGATCACTGATTGCTCTTTCGACAGATGCTATAGCAGGCAGGAGTACCTTTTTGAGGGTAAAAGCAAGAGTCTTGGAAGTGAATTTTTCCAAGCTATCACGAGCTTTTCTAGCACAATCGACAGCGTGAATCTGCATAAAGGGCGGCATGTCAACAGCCACAACCTTGACGCCGGCGCAACAAAAGAAGTCAGCCAACTCAGCTCGCGAGCAGCAAAATGACGTCCTTCTGCCATTCACCGCAAGCGAAATACATGGTCTATTCATTTCACACGACGGCGTGGCTTGATTAGGTTTCTCCAATTCAAGACTCCTCGACATCAAGCCATACGCTTTCTTCACGCCTCTCCTCCCGTCATAGAACTCCTCCTCCTTTTTCTGGGCTGCTCCTCCTCTTGCTCCTGACGATGATTTCTTGATTCTAAGATTAGATTTATGCCCGTCTAATAAAGCCTTCTGAGCTGGAGGAGCATCAGGCAGGGGCTTTTTCTTCTTGACATTAACCAGAGAATACTTCCTGTCGTCCTTTTCTTTAACCTTGGTTTTCGTGCGGTAGCTTTCTTCATTTGCCGAGGCCAAATCTGCCGGTGCAGCTCCACGATGAATTCTTCCGTGCTGGCTACTTGACTTGGTCAAAGCTACGCAGGAGTTGTCTAAAGCAGAGGAATCATCTTTGAGACCCTTTTCTTCTTCTTGATGAGAATGAGCGTGTGGATGTGAGGAGGCTTTTAAGGAAGCAGCAAGAAACTTGTGATTCGCATACAACTTGGCGAAGTGGCTGGATATGTTTTGGATGGTGGTGGCGGTGGAGGAAGGGGGGGCAGCAAGAATGGGATCCGGAGGAGGCATTTTTGAGGCGGCGGCGGTGGTGGATTTTGTCGGGTGCTTTTTGAGGGGAGTGGGATCCATGGAGGATACTACTTTTGGCTTTTGGTTCCCTTAGTTAGCTAGAACTTAGAGCTGCTGCTGATGATGATAAGTTGCACCACCTTTGGGTTTGAGTTTGCGAAGTGGCGTTTAGTTGTTGTTGTTTTTGGGGGCTTTTTGGCTGGAATTGTTGGGGTCCTAAAACTCCCCCCTAAGTCCTAGTAGGAGGACAGTGCAATACCACTATTAAAGACTACTAAAAATATGATGATGAGGCTACTGGAAGAACATAGAGGCCACTGGTCAGTATATGAAGAATGGGTAGAGCGGTAGGATGGGATGATGAATGGATAGATGTAGTAGTTTTCTTCTTCTATTCTATCTACAAAAGAGAGGGAATGGAAGGGGATAGCGAACAGTTTTTGAGTTGGAGAATATGGTGCGTTTTTGTGTTTTGTGGGGAGTGGTGTGCTATTAGCGGCGGGGAGAGTAACAACGGATGGGAGCTTTGTGGTGAGGCTGCTGGAGATGTGATCTACTTTTGTTGTATTGTGCGCCGAGGGCGGAGGACGAGGGAATGGGTTCCCCTTGACTGCGGAAAGTAATCATCTTTTCTTTAGTGGTAACTCAAGGTTTCTGACTACAGCACCAAGTTTTCCTTTAATTTTAAAAATTACACCTACATTCCCTACTTTTACTGTTTCGGTAATAATAATATGTACACTACTAAAAAAACAAAAAAAAAAGGAGCGTGTTCGATAAAATTGAAGTTTGAAAATCGTAATACGGAATATGAAGTTTGGATTTATTAAATTGTTGAATTGTTAAGTACTTCATCCGTCCCACTTTGATAGTCCCGTTTTCCTTTTTCGTCTGTCTCAAAATGTAATCCATTTTTTCATTGTTAAGAATGTAGTTATATTTTAATTTTCCTAAAATATCCTTATTACTATAAACCTACCCCATTTAATGAGAGTTGATTCTTTTTTTACCATCAATTCAAGTTCCCATAAAGTTGTACCATATTTAATGTGAGGGTATTTTAGAAAAATAGCAATCTAAATTTACTTTTCAAACAAAATTAACTACTTTTTTTTTAAACTATGTGAAGAAAGAAATGAGACTATCAAAATGGGACGGAGGGAGTACTAAATTTTTAATACTCTGAAGTGCGAGTCCGTTAAATGGTGATACATTTTAGTGTATATTATCATGTTAAGTAACGAGTGAAAAGTACGATCGCTTTTTTTCTTTTTTGAAATAAGTTTTGCCTAAGAGATTCAAAATGTCACCCCATCTCATATATTTTATTTTGGTTTATCAAAATGCATCTGAACACGTTAAATTTTGAAAACTAAGTTAAAATCTTGAATTGGGTTTGAAAAAAAGGCTAAGATACCTTTTTATGTTAGAAAGAAAAAGAAGAAGAAAGAGAGATGAAGAGCTCACTCATCACTTTCATTATTAATATTAGAGCAAATTATCTGGCTGGCCATTAAACTTTTGCCATCGTTGAGTTTTGGTCACTCAACTATTAAAAGTCTGGTTTTGGCCACTTAAATGCATAAAGTTAAAACTCGTAGCCATTCTGTTAGATTTGGCCGTTAAATTCACCGATCTGTCTGTCTGCACGATTTTCAAAACAAAATGCAGGGTTAATTTAGGAAATTAAAAATAGCATCTTCTTCTTTAGGGCAAGTTCCTCAAGTTCCTTCCTCAAGCCCAGAAGCATTGGTGATTGAAGTGGGAAAGATTCCAGAGAAATTGTTTTCCGTAACAGGTATTAGTTTCAGATTTGGTAGGGTGAGACCCACATCAATTGGGAGATTGCCATGGAAGTCATGGTATGGAACTCCAAGTAGTCCTTCCTGCAACAGAGTCAAAGCTGCCGGAATGCTGACTCTCCTAGTCAATAGGGCTATTGAAACCAATCCACCCTAAGCAGCAGCCACCCAAGAGATCCACAAAGGACCGCCATACCAAAGTTGATGGCCGAGGCAGGCGTATCCGAATGCCGGCTGCCTGTGCAGCTAGGATTTTCCAGTTGACTCGAGAGCTAGGTCACAAGTCCGACGGCGAGACAATTGAGTGGCTTCTACAGCAAGCCGAGCCAGCCATAATCGCCGCCACTGGCACGGGAACCATCCCGGCTAACATTTCAACCCTCAACATATCCGTCAGGAGCAACGGCTCCACTCTCTCTGCTCCTCCTTCAAAATCAGCTCCTCATTCTTTCCACAGCGCGCTAGCCTTAGCTCACCACCCCTATGAGGAAGGGTTTTCCCACATGTTGGGTTTTCAGCAACAGCAGCAGCATTTGTTAGCAGCAAATCAAATGACGGAAGCGATTCCCAGCGGAGACGGTGGCGGAGATAGCGGTGGCGGCGGTGGGCAAGATGCCACAGAGAGTTATTTAAGGAAAAGATATAGGGAAGATTTGTTTAAAGAGGAAGGATCAAGCGGCCGCCAAGGAGACGGCGCAGATGAAACTTCCCCTTCTCCTCCAAATAAGCAATTCAAAGTAGGAGGTGGTGGTGGTGGCATGCAGATACCGAAAACACAAGATGTTGGAGGGATCTTGGGCTAGCACGGGCTGTAGGCACTCTTTGGGCGGAGCTCTCTCGATCCACTAACTGGCTTGGGAAGATAGCAAGAAGTCTGAGCCTTCACAATTCTGGCCAAATCCTTCATTTTATTCTTCCTGAATTATCCTAATTTTCAACAAGCATTTTCCAGACAGGAAACTAATTTCAAGCTTTATACCGGTGGTGGCGTTGCAGGAGTGATGCCTGCGGTGGATGAAAAGGGTCTGACGAAGATTTGAAGAGGGGCAGGAAGAAGAACGATAATTTTTGAGAGAAGCATTGAATGCTATATTGAATTCCTAAATTAACCCTACCTTTTGTCTTGGAAATCGCGCGAACGGATATATCGACGAATTTAACGGCTAAATCTAACAGAATGGCCTCATATCTTAACTTTATATATTTGAGTGGCCAAAATCAGACTTTTAATAGTTGAGTGACCAAAACTCAACGATGGCAAAAGTTTAATGGCCAGCCAGATAATTTGCTCTTAATATTATAGCCCTTTTTGCAAACGTACCATCGCCCTACCTACTAACTCATCAATCAAGTCACTTCCATTCAATCCTGAAATTTCCACAATTTTGATTGACATGCTTTGAAAAAATCTTTTCTTCTTCTTCTTCTTCTTCTTTTTTTTTTTTTTTTTAAAAAAATGTCACACTCCAAACTCCAATACAAGATAGTCAAACTCACCACCAATACTAACTACACTGCTGATACCAGAGCAAAACCGAAGAACCACCGGCAACTTTCTCCGCCTCCTCCTCCACATCTTATCTTCTTTTGTTGAATCCACCAAAGGTCCAAAGTAGTAGAAAGCTGTAGTCGTTCAGATAAATTACGCTTGTTAGCAGCAAGAAAACCCATTTTTCTGCCTTAAAAGGGAATTCTTCTTAGAATAAACAAGACATCAAATAAGGCTAAATATAGATATGCACACAAACAAAAGTCAATAATTTCGGCAACAGCATAACAAATAGCTTTGAAAAAGATGAAGGGTTGGGGGATTGTTTGGTTGTTGCTGTCGTCTCATTCGTCTTTCCCCAACCCACAATGCACGTTTGGAAGATCTTTGAATACGCTCCAAATGATCCTGAAACTGATGCTTGTTCAATAATGAGGCGGACAGTCTGGTCTTAGTCTACCTGATTGGTTTTGGCACAACACCCTACAGCTGGTGGCACCTCTTTCCCCTATGCTATTTGTCCGCTGTTGTTTGTGGCAAGCATGTGGTGTAATTCGCAACTATTGTTCTGGGGGACGCATATCTATGAACTTAAAAGCTTATGAACATAAGAACCCTTTGTGATGCATCATTCAAAGCCAGGCTGTAGTAGTCAAGACTACCCCAAGAGTCGAGACACTAAAGGTGAAGACGACAGATATGCCCAAAATTCTACGCCGGATATTCAAACTGCGATAGTTGCTAGAGTGGAAATTCAAAGGTCCGTACGGGGGAGTGATAGAGAAATGCCACCGGCCAAATGATGAAGCCAATCACCATGTTCAACTTCTAACCATCATGTCAACTTTCAAAATTAGTGGATATAACAACTCCCCCCACAACAATCCACTGTTATCATTAAAGAACCAATCAAGCAGTTTGTAGCACGACTGCATGGGGATCTAACAGAAACCATCAATGCATTACAGGCACCCTAAATAAAAGCTCATAGGCACATCTGGGTTTCAGATTAGAGAAAAAGTCTAAAGGGAATTAGCAGACAACTCAAGCTGAATGCTTCGTAGCACAAAGACAGATTACATTACATGACCCTTTATTAAAGAGCTGTTAACTTTTTATTTATTATCTGATGCACACGCATGGATACGCAGTCCTTAACTATACAATAGTGCAAACATTCATTTCAACCTCTCTCTGAACCAAAACTGGGTCATTGCAATACCTTCAATTAAACTACTCGGATACCAGAAATGCCACTGACAAAGGCGTAGTAACTTACTCACGCTCTAAGAACATTAAAGACGGCATATTCTAAATAATGTCTTCATGCTGTCGATACCTCTCCAGTTTAGCAAAATATTGCTTCTAATTCCACGGACTTGGGACCCTGCTCTCTCTAAAAACTGACGTTCCGCCTGATGCAGCAGGAGAGGGAGAGGAGGCAACATAATTGGTCCCTGACACCGAAACGGTTGGCAAGTTTGAAGTCAGTCCCTGCTGACCGGTTGGCGCAAAGCGTGAAGGACTGGAGACCCCTAAACTGGCTCTTGCAGGGTTCGGAACCTGATCCAAATTGTTGTAAACATTTTAAATGTGAAGAAACTGAACTCCAATAAAATAACCTTTGATGGATATAAAATCTGATAATGAGAGGCTTGAAAATTTCACAGAAGCTTTCTGAAACAGTAGTGACAACTTACCACATTATAAGCAGGCTTCTTGGGTTGAGAATCTGAAGAAGGGGAAGGGGAGCTGCTGCTCATACGAAGCAAATGGCGAGCATCGGGATTATGGTTCAACATGCCATCATTTTCCCCTCCGTCCACCTCACCGCCAAGGGTTCCATCTGAGCCAACTCTAGGAGTGTTAAGCCTAGTCATTGACCCGGTATCAGTTGGAATGTCTACTTGAAGTGGAACAGATGGGCAAACCGCCATGCCCTGTCCACTGCTTCGCCTCTTAAGTTCTTCTTCTGCATTTTGGATCTATTAAACACAATGGATAACAGCATATCCGATAAATATAAAGTCATACTCAAAAAGAAGTTTAAAATTGAAGAGTTTGATAATCCATCTAGAATATCATACAAGTGAAGAAAATAACCTAGCATTACCTGTTTTAGCACCTGCACCAGACCATGCTTTTTTTCTTTCAAAATCTTCAGTTTCTCCTCAACCTCCTTCTTTCTTTTGTATTTATCACTCTCTTCATCCTCTTTGCTGGTCGTCTGTGAAAAATGAGAAAAAGAAAATGTTCAGCCAAAGTTAATCATGAATGGCAAGCACAAATAAGAGAAAAATAAGATCACTAGAGAAGTGTAATCCACATCAGGACGTCTAATAAACTGTCGGCCACCTTCATGTCACACAGTTGACCTTTAAAAGGCTCATTTATAACTGGGTCCTATAAGAGGCACATATATGCAACAGTTACTCAAAAATCTTGGCATGCACAGCCTTTGACCAGCAGGGTCCATCTGCTTGAAAAACACTAAATCCCAGCACCCATAAAGCTCTGTCAATTACATTTTTCCCCCTCCACAGCTACAGAGCCAAGATAGTGTGTGTTTGTGCATGTGTGTATATATGCATATATATGGGCCTTAACTAACTAGGCATTTATTGAGCTTATGAGCTAGACTCCGGAATACATTCAAGAAATACACTATCTAGCCAATTTTCTTTCCTTCTGAGCAAATGATTAATATTCATACTTAGCCCTAACAAGCAATGGTACAATAATCTGCTACTTGCACAGGATTCAACAACCAGATTAAAAATCTTGAATCTGAAGTTCCCATAATTACTTGAAATTGTTGAAAATTTTCTAGACAAGAGATTCTAAGGCAGACTAAGCAGATATCGTTAATAAATGTGCAATGGGAAGGTTAAACAATCATTTGAAACCAGGTACATGAGATGGAGAAAACTTCAATATCCATTGTGGTTTCTCACCATTGATCAAAATTCTAAATCAGACTTGAACTCGTAATCCCAGAAAAAGATGTGCAAATCTTGAGAAATTGAAGTACGGAATGCAGGCAATCCCAATCTTACACCAGCTGATTCAAACCTCTGATTTTAAAAAGTACAAAGAGAAGCAGATTTTCCCATCAAAATGGTAATGCATCTATTAGAGTTTGCAAGTAAAATCTCCTGGTCATGTATTCTGTGCCTATGGATTACATTTGTTCTCAGTTATTAATTAGTATAGAGATAGAATCCTACACGGCAATGTTTGAGAATTGGAATAAGGAGATGTAAGCATCTAATACAGCTATTTAAGACACTTAGAGAACGAGGAAAAACAGATATTGAAGCATTGAAGAACAACAAAAAGAGAAGGTGAATGAGGATTGTAGAACTCAAAATGATAGTCTCACTAAAAGCCTCAATCAATTGGAGCCCTAAGTGAAAAAATCCGTTTTTGTAAATCAGAACACTCATTAAAAAGAAATGATTTTGGACGCATAACTGTTTGCCAAAGCAATTGTCTCGACCAAGATGCCAATAGACAATCCTTTTCTCTCTTTACAGAAGTGAACCCAGATGTGGGTTCAAACACCAAATTTTTTCCGTGGTCACCAACATCCATGAATCAAGAAATCAAGTCATATGAAAGCGAACAAAAGTGCATTCTTTCGTCACAACAACATGCTCAGAATAATTCACGGGACATTATTGCTTTCACAGCACAGAAAAAGAAGCCCATACACATATCATATCGACAAGAAAATAATCCAAAAAGAAAAAAAAAGGAATAACTTGCAAGTATATTTTCATATCTTCGATAAGTTAAAGTTGCTGAAACATAGCGGAGTAGGCAAAATTAACTGAACGCATGAAAAAGCATGAGATGCAACCGAGATCGACTAGCTCACAAATAGATAAAAAGGAACCCCAATTACCTGAGGTGCGGTAGGGTTGAGCAGCAGTGGTACCTCCTCCTGCTGCTGCTCATTCTTCTTCTCGTCCTCTTGTTCTGTGACCTCATGCTGCTGCTGCTGCTGCTGCCCCCGTTCCACAGCAGCAGCAGCAGCATTCAGGTCATTTTTCTCCAGGGCAACCTCATCAGATAATACTAGCGTTTCAGATGCGCCAGATCCGATTTGATCACCTACTAATCCTTCTTCTTCAACCCTGATCTCATCTTCCTCCTCCTCTTTATCATTGGGCGCCTCCTTCGTTTGAGCTATAATAATCTCAGCGCAAGCATTTTTATCGTTATTATTAACCATTTCATTGTCGCTGTCATTATTATTATCATTATTATTGTCATGAGCAGCACCTCTGAAATTAGGGTCAGGGTTAGGGT